AAGCCATCAAATCTGAATGAACTAGAGATGTTTTGTAAAGACGAATGGTCCAAAATACCTTCAACCACAATCCAGACTCTCATTGGAACCTACAGGAAGCATTTAGAGGCTGTAATTTCTGCAAAAGGTGGATCTACTAAATATTGATTTCATTTTTTTTTTTTGTGGTGCCCAAATTTATGTACCTGTCTGATTTTGTTTAAACAATTATTGGAAACTTTCTGGAAATCCAATAAACTTCATTTCACTTCTCAAATATCACTGTGTGTGTCTCCTACATGAGATATTTAACTGACTTTGTTTTTTTTATTGTAACAACCAACGATTTATACAGGAAAACAATGACTATTAATATGGTTGCCGAAACTCTTGCATCCCACTGTATGTGGTAGAACCAGGAAAAAAAAATTCCCTGGGTTTTCCCCTCTTTTTGTGCCTCTCTAGTTCCCTGTTCATGCTGATGTGTTTGTGTGTGCAGGTGTTGTATTTTATTTTCTCATACTGGTTTACTGATTCAACACACCTGGCTTTTATCTACTCATCTGACAAATGGCAAAACTTGGTTTAACTTTCAGGGTGGATATCTACTCTGATCTCTTTCAAGCTAGATATCTGCTCCGGTCTATCTTTCTGGTTATATATGTACCTGATCTGTCTTCCAGGGTAGATATCTATTCAAGTCTGTCTTTCTGGTTAGATATCTACCCAGATCTGTCTTTTAGAGTACAAGTCTACCTTTGTCTTTCTGTCAGGTTAGATATCTCTACTCTCATGTGTCTTTCAAGGTAGATATCTACTCTGGTCTGTCTTTCAGGTGAGCTGTCTACCTGATCTTTAGTTCAGGGTGTATATCTACTCTGATCTATCTTTCAGGGTAGATATAAGCTGGTTACCAAGAGGTTATAGTGCTGCAACAAAAGCCCCTTTGAGATTGTTTAGATTGCTAGCAAGATGTTTCAGCCACTTGTAATTTGCATGGAAGATGCAAACACAAAACACTCACAGAATAGTGAAAATGTGAAAAGTGCAACAAAAACTGCAAACAGAGGACGCTTGTCTTTGAAAATATAAGCTGAAGAAACAGTCACCATTTCTGGTTTGAGTCTTCACACTTTGCAGAGCTCAGTCTGATTTGGTGATGTGCAGTACAGAAACTTTATAGGTGGTTGTACTGTCTCCATTCCTGGTTACCTTGTACACCTCAGGATGTCGGTACAACTCAGGGTCAGATCACCTACAATAATATTCTGAGGATTCTGCAGTGGATGTATAAGTGATCGGCAGGAGGAGGATTACAGAACACTAGTGGATGTTTTTGTGGATGGGTCTGCGAGGAATCTTCTGCTTCTGAATGGTGACATGGTGATCGACTTCAAAAGCAAGAAGCCGGCCTGACCAGCAGCAGACTGAACAGAATGACCAACACAGAGGCTGTATATGTATATTTCTTGCTTAAGAAGCAGAATTTTTTTTCAGTGCGTACAGCAAAGTTTGGAGATTTTCTATCAGTCATTGTACTTTGCTGTGGTCTGCTGGGGGAGCAGCACTGGAGATGGTGACACCAACAGATTAGATAAAACTATTCTGAAGGCCGGCTCTGTGACACTGACCCTTTTGAGCTGTGGTGGAGAGGAGGTCACTGGACAAACTGGTATCCATCATGGATAATCCTGTTCACCTTCTGCACCACTTACTGGACAGGCTGCAGACACCTTCTCAATCAGAGTATAAATGTAAAATGTTTATAAAAGCCCTTGAATTAAAGACGAATGTCTGCACATCAATCGCATCTTCATGGTTTGATTTAAATCCACTGTGTAGGTGTACAAAGGTAAAGCTATGAGCACTGAGTCTTTGTACAACACAGTATGGACTGAGCTGTATACAGTTTAATATGCAAATGTGCTGAATAATACTGAGAGAAACATTCGACTTTACTAGAAAGAAAGCTGCATATACTTACACATATACATACATGTGTGTGTGTATATACACATATATCCTAACCCATCTCTTCAGATCAATATCTTGTATGGCAGCTTCCTGCTGGCAATCTCTAAATGTGTGAATGAGGCCCATTTTTTCTGAGCTAATGTAATCTATTCATCAATTATGACTATTCCTGAAACACACACACACAAACATACATATGCAAAACCCAATCGAAAACATCCCCAACCCAAGGCAACATATTTTGGCACTATACTTGATGTGGCACTGATGTTTGAGAGGCTTGGCGAGAGCTGCTGGAGTGACTGCTGAAGTGCACACGTGGCTGTCTACATACACTGCAGGGAAACTGTTCATAACCTGTTCAGGTAGCAGAGAAGCTTCACACAGAGAGGCTGCAGATGAAAGAAAAGGAAAGGCAGGGATGTTAATCTCGCCAAAACACACCTGGATGCAGACAAAAACATCTCATTGCAGACAAATCCTTCCTGCCTTTTTCTTATCTGTTTCCCTCGCGAAGCTGATTTCTCCCACTCCTTTTCAGAACTCTCACAGTCACACTTTCCTTTATCTTTTTCTTGGTTTTACACTTAGTCACGAACTGAATTTCATCATGTGTTGTGTACGTGCCTCTCTACAGCCATCTGCGTGTGTTGCTCGGAGAAGCTTTGCCTGTTAAGCAGAAGACCTTGTCTCTTGTTAACAAGGCCCTTCTCAATTACTCTCCATCCAGACGCTTATTAAAACACCCTCACAGCCCCACCGCCTTTCCTCCCCCCTCATACATCTACCTTTAGTTTAATACCAGGGAGATCTTTGTTGCCATGGATTCTGTCGTCATGGCTACAAACAACTACGCAGATGTACAGGAAGTATAGAAGGATGGAAATAGCGCAGTGGGCTGGGGTGATAAGGGGACTTGAAGGAAGCTTAACCTCTGCAGGGTGAAGATCAAGCTGCGATAAGTCACGGCATTCAGCACGAGGAGGGGGACAGCGAGGTTGGCCGTCCTATATTCAATGACGCATGAAGGTCAGGGCAAACCCTCAGAGGGATGTGAGAGGGATTACAGTTAATGTCTGGCTGTTTTCTTGCTGCTGCTTTGCCTCAGTGGGGTATTTTCTGGTCTTACCTTGAGCACAACTACAACAACACATTACCCGTATCTGTCAATAGTAAATGCACTGCATTTATACAGTGCTTTTCTAGTCTTGTTGACCACTCAAGGTGCTTTGAAATCTCAAAGCAATTCCCTTCTTAACTTCAAGATTGACAAGGAGGATTTTTGTAAAGCAGAAAAGTGCACTACTACAAACAGAAAATACCCCAGTCTGTCTGCACAGCCTTGAAGGGCGTGGGGTAATTTACATAGGGCAGATAAAAGTGGAGCTTTGTCAGTGTTGATGGACAACTGAGTGTTTAATGTGGCTGTGCAGAGAATACATTTGCGGTGCATCCTTGATTTGTGAGAGACTCCTGTGACGAGTTTATAAAACACATTTTTTGGAATTGTTTAAGGTCTAGAAAGGAAGCGGTCCTCAGTGGGACAAGTGGTTAAAATAAACAGAGAACTGTCACTTCAGGTTGTCTGACTCTTTGATAGAAGGGTGACTAAAAGACAAAGTAAAGAAAACTGCTTCTATGAATGTTTCCTGAGGAGGGGCCACAGAGACAGTATGCATTATCTGGTTTCATTAGCTTCTAAAAACAAAGGCTCCCAAAAAGGTCACAATTTTACACTCAGGATTCGCTTTCTTTCCACACTTCTTAGAGGAGGACTACTTCCTAATTCTTCAAGTTCAATTCAATTCAACAGGCAGATGGTTTAAAACTTGGACACAACGGGGTGTTCCAACAGGACAATGATGCCAAACACACATCACAACTGATTTTTGGAATGGATAAAGCAGGCTAAAATTATGCTTCTGTAATGGTCTTCCCAAAGCTCCAACCTACTTAAAATTTGTGGACTATGCTTAAAAGGCAGGGCCATGCCAGGAAACCAACCAAATCAGATCAGATTCAGATCAGAATCAGAAATACTTTATTAATCCCGAAGGAAATTATAGGAAATTATAGGTTACAGCAGGTAGCACGCTAAATGGCGCATGCGCACTTACAAAGGAACCCTCTGACCAAACAACTTAAATGAACTTTTGCCAAGAAAAGTGCTCAAATCTCCAGCCAGAAGCTTGTTAGTGGCTAACAAAAGTGTCTGGTCGAGGTGCAACTTGATAAGGCATGCTTAACCAAATATTAGTCAGGACATTGTATGGATACATTTGAGCCTGCGTGTATAATTTGGCCTGTGAAAATCCAAAATAAAGTCAAATTTATATACTCTACTCTTTTTTTTTTAAAGTCAACAAAGATGTATACTGTACAACTGTTACCCTCTAGATAAGAGCCATTCAAAGAAATCATTAAGAGCCCCAAATTATCAGGACTATTCACCTATAGACTAAACGTTTGACCACTTTTGTAATATTCAGGTGAATGAAGGTGCATGAGAGGCAACAAAAGAAACTGAATAACGTTAAGAGTTTATTTGAGGAGCTAATTAAATCACATGGATCTAAGAGCTTACTAAATAATATCCTGAGTGATCTCAAGGGTACGCCACCCATTGACAGAAAAACACTCTGTTAAAAAGCTTGTCTGTAGCGCCACCTTGTGGTTTTTTTATTCACTAATGAACTCCTCAGGAGTTCATGCTGTGAGCTTTTGCTTGCAGTACAAGCGCCTGGTTAGGACTTGTAGTGATGCAGAATGAGTGCATTAAAAGTAATTCCAGTAAATTTCAACCTCGTGGTTTATATATTTTTTAAATGCACAAAGATTGTGTGGCGATTACAGCTTTCATAGAGTGTTTCACACTTTGTGCCCATGGCCATCATCTATTTCTGTGGTCCCAGTTATCTGTGACAGTCTTCAGGAATGGTCCGGACTATATTACACCCTCTTCCCTCCCCCAGAAGCTGTGCTAAAGTAACAGCTGATGTCAGTCCTGCTTAAAGACAGACAGACACACACACACACACACATGCACACAGACCACACTGGCTACTCGGTCAAAGAGAGCCAGCCAAAGGGGAGTAGGGCTCCTGCACCTTCCTCTCCCTGCGACACATCAGCACTTGGCACAGAGGAGGCTCCATACCACGCTTCACAAATCCACAATCCAAGCCTTTAATCCCAAGTTACAGCAGACTTAAAAGGGGAGGGCAGTTATCTAACTCTCTCAGCACCCCCATGTGCCTGCTTGGATCATGGAGCTGCACTGCCTTCCTACTGATACCCCCACCACAGCCAGCTCCTGCTCCACGGATCACCCGTACGACAACTGCCCACCTTTTGGCCAGCGAGAGAGAGCCAGGGAGAAGGAAATGGAGAGTGGAGTTGTGTGCCCTGCTGTAACCAGACTCCCAGGCCCCCAGAGCCCACTGCCTGGTCTGGCCCCAGCTGTGGCTGAGGTTCAGACAGTGGTCGGTGGGGGAAGAGGGCCTGGCATTTGGCCAGCTCACAGCTACTGCAACTGTAAAGAAGGCCTGGGAAGACAGGCCTGGGAAGCAGAGCTAAGCAGAGGCATAAACACAGCAAGAGGAGGAGACAGAGGAGGAGAACAGGGGTGTAGCTGGGGAGTTCATGTGAACCAAAGCCCAAGCCCATCACAGAGTGAAGAGCATCGGAGCGCTCTGTCTCTGTATGATAATCTTCCTGATGCTGAAACATCCAACAGCCTCCAAGACTTTGACACAGAAACAAGCTTCCAGGAACACTTGCAGGAGCAGATGCACAAAGCTGTAGCATCCAAACAAATCCAAGGATTGATGGAGGACGACTGTGTGACTGAAAAGATGCTCAGTAATAGATGTTCTAGCAACCAGGACCAGAAACCAGACCAAGACGAGGAGCATGAACCGGAGCTAGAGCTGGACTCAGGATCCTGTAGATTAACAGAAGGGGACCTGATGCAGCATCACCACCTCCCTACGTCGCTTCCTCAACATCTTACACAAAATTCCGCTCAGATGCGTCAAACCAAGTGTCACGACCCACTGCTGTGGCCTCCGGCTGATGTCAAACAACCAAAACGGACATCGTCTCCCAGAGTGCCCCCTCCATTACCCCTGGCAGACCCCTCTGCCAGTGCTTTACGCAGCCTCCTCACCAGCCTGCAGCACCAGATAATGAAGCAGAGAGAGGAATATGAAGCACGGATAATCAGGTAACTTCAACTTGTTTCTATTTATAAATCCCCAACAAAGATTAATTATGCTACGTGAAACAATATGAAGTGTCTTAAAATGTAACGTGGTGATACTTTTGGCTTTAATATTAGCATACACTTACAGCTCAATGACTTGAAAAATGAATTTTCCAGCCTGTGGTGTATTTTCAGTGAAGGGTAACACACTGTTCCCAGGCAAAGAAAGTGTGCACGTGTGTCCACTCAGCTGTGCTGGTGTGGTCCCTCAGTTGACTCCAAGCTTCACCCCACATCCTGTTTAGTTCACAGATCAGCGAGAGCTGATTCAATTTTGTCATAGTTTCCCACGGATCTCCTCATGATGTGCTATGATGGAAATGCTGCTTGTATACACACGAAACTGCATTTTGGATAACCAAAGTTGGGATTTGGGTTTTTTAGTCTGAAAATGGATGTGCATCTGTTTGTGGCAAAATACTGGCAAAATAAGAAGAAACCTGCTTTTTTGTTGCCATCTAGTTAGCCAGCAAAAAAAAGGAAGAAGCACAGCCCGTGTGCATGACATATAGACCAGCTCATGACAGTGGAAAGAGAGCTAATTTAAGGGGCCATGCTGCTGACCTAGACACAACACATACCTCATTTATTACTGATATAGATAGACCAACACTCGGAGTAAGGTAATGCATTGGTAGTAGTGGAGATGACAATCCTTTTAGCTCAATAAGGATGGTACGAAAAATCACAAAAGACAGATTTAACTCTGCACATGAAGCTTTTGAACTATCTGTTCAGACTTTCCAATGAGACAGTGCTGTGATTTACCGCCTTCTTGATTTCTTAGTTTTTTGCATATTAGTCACAGTTGCATGTTTCAGAGCATCAGACAAATTTTAATATTAGATGAAAATAACCAGGGTAAACACAAAATGCAGTTTTAAAATAACCATTTTATTAATTAAGGGAGGGAAAGCTATCCAAAATTGTGTAAAAAGAAAAAAGAAAGATCAATTGCTCCCTAAACCTAATAACTGGTTGTGCCACCCTTTGGAGCAAGAACTGTAATTAAGCATTTGGAATAATTGGCAATGAGCCTTTCACTGTGGAGGACTCTGATCCACACCTCTTTGTAGAGTTGTTTTAATTCAGCCACACTGGAGGGTTTTCAGGCATGGGCAGCCTGTTTGAAGCCATGCCAAAGCATCAGAGTTGGATTTAGAACTGGACTTTGATTAGGCCACTTCACTAGCGTCATTCATTTTGGCTCATCATCAAGCTGCATAACCCAAGTGTGAACGGATGGCCGGACATTCTCCTTCAGGATTTTCAATAATTACAGCAAGTCATCCAGATGCTGAAGCAGCAAAACAGCCCCAGATCATGACACTACCACCACCGTGTATGACTGTCAATATGACGTTCCTTTTATGAAATGCTGTCTTTTTTTTTGCCAGATGTAACAAGATGCAAACCTTGCAGAAAGTTTAACTTTGCCTCATCAGTCCACAGAATATTTTCACAAATCATCAAGATGTTTTTTGTTTTATTTTTTCAAATGTGAAACAAGCCTTTGTTTTCTTTCTGATCAGCAGTGGGTTTCTCCTTGGAACTCTACAATGGAGGCCATTTTTACCCAGTTTCTTTCTTATTGCTGAATCATGAACTCTGACTTTAACGGAGGCAGGTGATGCCTGCCGTTCTTTAGATGTCGCAGAGGCACTCTTGGAGTAACTTTGGTAGGTCAGCCATCACTGTTCCATGTTTTCTCCATTTGTGGATAAAGGCTCTCTCTGTTGTTCACTAGTCCCAAAGCCACAAAAACAGCTTTGTAATTCATTCTTGCTGGGGTTTTTTTTTTTTTTTTTTTTTAAATAAATGTGTTACTGTTTGAAACAAGTTAGAATCTGACAAACTGAAGTAGGCTATTTAAGTGACTGCTTAGTTTAACGCATATGGTAACAATGAGGCCTGGAGGTGCCTTGTGAAACTGAATTGGGCTTCCCAGAAAGTGTGGTTAATCATAGTTAATTCATGATTTAATAAGCTGGCAGTATTACTTTTTCATACAAGGTCAAGTAGGTTTGGATAGTGTTTTTCCCCTTAAAGGACATCATTTAAAAACTTTTTTTTTTTATATTCACTCAGGTTACCTTGGATATTAAAATGTGTGTACTTTTACACAGGACTGCAATGATGCTGTTGATATAAGGAACAATCCAGTAAACCATCCTGTCATTTTTAAATAAATTAAAAATAAATTTGTATCCTTCACCCTATTCTTATCCTTTTTAACTTTAATATTGCTTCTCTTTTCCTCCTCACGTCATCAGTCTGGAGCAGAGAAATGAAGAGCTACAGATGGAGGTAGTTCATCTGAAAACAAACCTCGCACAGCAGCGGCACTGGTACCAGGTTGTGCAGGCGAAGATCGTGGAATCTGAACGGGCACGGGCTGCCGCGGAAGCACACAACACCACGATGCAGAGGGAGATGGAGCAGTTTTTCGACATCTTTGGAGAGCTCAACAACGAGGAAAAGAAAACGGAACACATTGTGAAGAGCTTTTGAGAAAGCTTATGATACGAGGAGTGAGTGCAAAGAGTAGGAAATAAATGCACAAGATGAGCTGGTCATTACACTCTAATGAGGGTCTTTTATCACTATGTCACTAATAAAGCAATGTACAGTCATTTCCTCATGAAGAATCTGAGAATTGCACAAAACAGCATCAAAGAAAGAAAAATATTCACTGATGTCCACTTTATTAGCTGAGTATGGGCAAAAGATGTTGGCCAAAAGGTAATATTGTGGTCATTGCAATCACAGAGGACATCTCTGGAAATAAAAGGAGGAACAAACCGAGATGTACAGTGTATACAATGGAGTATTTTCTTTTAAAAACATAGTAAACACATGAGATAACCTGAGCAACGTGATGCTCAGTCCTTATCTGCTAAGATTTGGAGAGTTGGATGGCTACTCCTCAGGTCGTTTAAGGCATGACTGAAAGAATAAGGTCATGGTTGTGTACAACATAGTTCATAAGTTCTTGGTGACTCCGTAGTGTCTTCTTTCTGCGTGTCCATCACATGTGCAATCAGTTATGAAAAAAAAGTTTAAAAAAAAGAAGAACAAAGGGGGGGCGACGCAGTATCTGCACAGTCCATTTTCAAGGTTTATCTTTGACTTTCAATCTTCAGTTGAACTCAGGACTCCACAGTCTCACCCACGCTTAAACCACAGCATGTCTGCTTTCTCTCTGGGAACTTTTAAAAAACCTGAACAGCTGGGTCAGATTATTCAAAGGAGAAAAATAAGGATGAGTGCTGCACAGCATGTTCTCATGAAACATAAAACACACATTTAAGGCCAAAAAACCCCAAAACAACAACAACAACAACAACAACAAAAAACAAACCCTCGTAAAACTACAACAGCTCCCTAACTCTAAAAGCTTTCTGAACTAAGAACGGAAACGTACTGTGAGTGAAAGAACGCACTTGAATGCATTTCTTTGTATAGCAAGAACTACAATTTCTTACAGGTGTGAAGCCTTCATGCAGGTTAAAACGTGTCGTCTGATTTCATGATTCATTGTGTAACTTTTCCAGCACTAATGGAATGGTTTAAAAAAAAGAGAGCGAGAGAGAAAAAAAGACAAAAGGGAGCAGTCCACACGTTTGTCAATGAAATGTTTTGACAAGAGGCTTAATTCCCACGGGCGTCACTGTGGTTGTGTGCAACACTCTGCAAGAACACACAAAAATAAATACAAGTATCTTGTTTTGCCTCTTCCGGATGTACAGGATTACGATTTTTTTTTTTTGATGTACACACTGATAGTCAGTACCGTAAGTCAAATAAGGGTGATTGCAATATATATAGATATAGATATATGTAGCTCCACAGACATGTTGAATTTCTTAACCAAACAAGCACATCCTATCTATTTGTAATGAAAGGGTCTACAGCCACTATGAGTGACATCTTTACATACAGTACATTGTATCGGGAAATAAACAGTAACACTGCAATCACAGCTTCCCCTCGCTGTCAGGGGGAAAAGCTTAAAACCAACATCACTCAAGCCAATTAATTATTCAATTAAAAACAAAAACACTGTGCAGAACGCACCGCTGTAGAGAT